ACAAAAAGAGTACAGATATTGTTGCCGGGTTTTGACAACTCTAGGTCTAGAGAGAAGATATAGGCAAGGCGGAGGAGGGTGGTGAAAACATATAGGCAAAACGCGGGGGAGGGTGGCGTGGCGGACTGCCGGTGAAGGTTGATGAGGTGGGGGTGGGACAACTGTGGTTGGTGGCACCGCCGTTTGGGGAGCAAAAAAAAATAGAATGCTTTGGATGAATAATGGTGTATAGTTGGAGGTCTCAGCTAGAGAAGAGGAATGTTGGTGGGACAACGGATGGAGTGGCGATAGACCGAGGAAGAAGATACACTTTGGATTGTCGGACTCATATTAATGGTCAAGATTCATTGGTTACGACCATTAAACTAGCATCTCCTAGTTTGTTCACTACTTTTATGCAATTGTGGGTTATTCTACCCTTCTCTTCATTCATTACCTATTCTTCATCAGTGACGCTCCAATATCCGTCTCTAGCTACTATTCCATTTCGTTGCAACCTTCACTTCAGCCTCGCATGGCATCACAGATTCACCAAACACATACTCAAGCTATCTTGTGTGCGACGAAGAATACTTCCAACAAAGGTTGGTTAGGCAGGATACGGCCCATGCCACGACTTGCGATTTTCACACGAAAAAGAATGAGGGCAGGTGGCTGGTGGGGGAGGCCCGAGATTAATTTTTTTTTCTATTTGTTTTGCAATATTTTTGGGTCTGAAATTACGATTTCTGAAAAATGATCTGTACCCTACAAATCTTGAGCCGCCTCTACAAATCAATTTGTAGGGTACAACTCAAGATTTGTAGGGTACAGATCATTTTACCAATGAAGGATGATCTTCTAAAAGAAACAATGAAGCATGAAACCGTTAGTGATGAGGTTTTTCAAATGTTTGTGATGAGTTGTTTGTAGTAGTGATCCTGACACGTATGTTGAGATTCTAATAACTTATGGTTTACCAATTATATCATACAGTCTTAAGTTTCTTTCCTTTTAAAAGACAACTGATGGGCAGAGAGAGATCCCCAGAGCTTCCAGCCTACGTACCAAAATCAACATTTTAAAGTTTTATCTAATTCAAACTATCCTCGCAAGGATAACCAATCAGGTGCTGTCCCTCACCTATATATATGATGTGCTCTCCCATGGTGAGGTTGCACCCTAAAGCATGTATGAAAAAAATCTACAAATTAACGTCATTTCAAATTATAAGACATTTTTTAGCTTTTTTAGATACATGGAGAGATGCTCTTACATGCCTTCAGTTTCTACGTTCTACCTTGTTTAATCAACTGATGACAGATATTCAAATAAAAAAATAATAAGAATCTAAGTAATTCCATCAATCACATATTATCTTCATATGCACACATGAAAAAAACAGACATTTCAATTACAGACAAATATTCGCAAAGATGTTTGGATTGGTACGGTCAAATCATTGGAGTGAACTAATAATGATGCAAATTCACATCAGTTACTTTCCGAGCTATACAAATCTCTTGCTTTGCAGTTGAAATTTGTATTCCTTCATAATAAGGTCTCACCTGCCGCTCCACCAGAAACAACACCACGTCGTGGTTCAATATATTTCACTGTCTGGTTGCCCGTTATACCATCACTAGTTCACCACTAACATTTACAATCACGAGCACATGAAAGATGATTAAACCCATTTGGTGACAACATAGGAAACAATCAGAGGAAATATTAAACACATTTGGCGACAACATAAGCGCATACAATCACTGAATCACAGGAAATTAAGTTTAAACTCATTTGGTGATAACATAAGGATACAGTTACATGAAAGATTAAACCCGGCCCAACCCGGCCCATTTGGTGACAACATAAGCATAGTCTAGTCAGATGACTCGAGCAGCCAACATCACCATGTATCCATATGGGCCTGTCTGGTGTTTACACAAGGGTATTTAACATAGATAACACAACATGCTAACTACCCTAGATAGATTTTCTAGTAATGCCGCTTATAACTATCTGCAGGCACATCAATTTTCACGCCACCTCAAGCCTGACGAGGCACCTCACTCATTGGTTGAGGGATCGGTAACCCACCAAAATCTTGTGGGAAGAAGTTGAAGTTTGGCCCAAAATTAAATTTTACTATACAGTTGGTGGGCTTGTTGGGCATAGTATACAACGATGCAGCTGTGTAATACCTCCCTCCTAAAATGTCCTCGAGAAGGCATGGCCTTGGCATATCCCATTTTGAAATAGCATATCTTACTCCCCGCATATGCAAATTGTCAGAACAATAGTAAAATAATGGATACGGAAAATAACTGTAAAAAGAGAGAGAGCATGTGACACATCATTTTCTACATTCAAGCTCGCTGAAAATAGTGTAATAATGTAATGGAACACAAAAAAAAGATCAATATATCTGTGCGTTGAACACCCAATATTCAAACATTTTACCATTGATGTGATAACTAAAAACCTCCCAAGCATAACCAATTGGGATTTCTTACTACCTTACACAAAAAATCAATGTTAAAGATGCAACAACATCCTTCAATAGTTAAATATTGGAGATGCACCTTATTCATGTCGAGCAGCAACTATAAGGGGCAAAGGTGCTACGATGACAGGAAATATAGAGTCCTGGATGAAAAGGATAAATTTTCAATTAGCATTGCAGCATCAATAGAGTAATAAAGCTCCACTGGATAAAAGTAATAAAGCTCCAATCCACTGGTCGGATTCATTGCAACACACATTAGTTTATTAGGCTTTGGAGATTATTACAGGATGAATAAATGGGAACTACTACTTCCATTATCCAAAAGTCTGAAGCATGTTTTCTTTCTTATTTTGCCCAGCAGGGTAAGGTGTGGTTGGATTGTTCCCAATACATATTTCGGTGATTTTGGTGGGATATTTCCACTAGTTACTAGAGCAATTGAAAGAGTTACAAAAAAAATGAGTTCCAAGAACCTATTTCCCCAAGCAGCCAAAAACAATTAGGCGCAGAAAAATGCATGTACTCCAACAATTCATGATTATAAAAAAAATCAAATCCTACAGTACTGTTCATCAACCGACAACAGCTGAGCCTCTAGTCAGCCATGCACAGTTGGCCGCGGCCACGGTCTCTGGCTAGGGGCTGCCATGGTCAGCCATGGTCAGCCAAGTCACAGAATCGACGGTGGAAAATGCAAGGAATTTAATTTTTCAAAAAAAAAATGCAAGGAGTTTCACTGCACCAGCGAATGTCTTTAGGGCGGCTGCCAGGATTTTTTTAGGCGGCTATGGCCGGCCGCCCCACCCAAAGCCCGTATTTACAAATGCGGATTTGTAGGGCGGTGATCGATTTATAGGGGTGGTTGGATATTGAACCGCCTCTATAAATTATTTTCTGGAATTCATGAATAAATCCCAAAAAATAGCAAAACATTTGTTTTTAATCCAGGAAGGTCACCACTGGTCAACCACCCACACATTCGACCCATGGCTATTTTTTCACGTTTTTTTGATACTTCGCGGCTGCCAGCCTTCGACCCATGGCTATTTTTTTCATGTTTTTTGGACACTTCGCGGCTGCCAGCCTTCGACCCATGGCTATTTTTTTCACGTTTTTTGGACACTTCGCGGCTGCCAGATTGCGGCTGCCAGCCTTCGACCCATGGCTATTTTTTTCATGTTTTTTGGACACTTCGCGGCTGCCAGCCTTCGACCCATGGCTATTTTTTTCACGTTTTTGGACACTTGGCGGCTGCCAGCCTTGACCCATGGCTATTTTTTTTCATGTTTTTGGACACTTCAGGGCTGCCGACCTTGACCCATGGCTATATTTTTCACGTTTTTTGGACACTTCGCGGCTGCCAGCCTTCGACCCTGCGACCTCTCTCCCAACACACTAAGTCCTCTACCACTGCACTACACACTCACATGTACAAGTCATTTCGGTTCGCCACATATTATACTAAACCAAGTGTAAATTGATTGTTTGACGTCCTAAACGAATTCAAATCAAAAAAATTATCAACTACAAAGTTTCATAACTTTGAGATCTACACTTTTTGTTTAGGAAGTTTCTCCATCCGAGTTCGTTTACAAAATTTGAATTTCAAATTTGAGAAATTCAAACGTAGTTTGCATGCAAGATGATTTCAAATTAAAAAGTTGTCAACTACAAAGTTTCATAACTTATCGAGATCTACAATTTTCGTTTTGGTTGTTTTTACATACGAGGTCGTTTGAAAAAATCGAATTTTAAAATTTTGAAATTCAAACGTTGTTTTGCATGACAAAATGACTTCAAATCAAAAAGTTACCAGCTACAAAGTTTCATAACTTTTTTAGATCTACAATTTTTATTTTGGTTGTTTTTTGATCCGAGGTAGTTTGAAAAATTCAAATTTTAAATTTTTGGAATTCAAATGTAGTTTTGCTTGACAAGATGATTTCAAATCAAAAAGTTGCCAACGTCAAAGTTTCATAACTTTTTGACATCTACAACTTTCATTTTGGTCATTTCTCCATCCGAGATCGTTTGAAAAAATTAAAATTTTAGTACTTCATTTTAAATATCTGACATCCATTTGTAAGGGCGCTTCAATATAGATCCGCCCCTACAAATCAATTTGTAGAGGCGGCTGGATATTGAGCTGCCCCTACAAATGGACGCCCATTTGTAGGGGCAGCTCATTCTAGAGCCACCCCTCCAAATCGATTTTTAGAGGCAGCTGAATATTGAGCCGCCCCTACAAATAGAGAACCATTTGTAGGGGCGGCTCATTATAGAACCACCCCTACAAGAAAAAGGGTGGCATTCCTACAAATCGTTTTTCACGTAGTGTTTGAAACAAGCACTCACCTGGAACATGAGCCTGTGCGTCCTGCCCTTGCACAAGAAAAGGCTTGCCCTTGCTGTTCAGATTCACTTCAGCCTCATACCTCTCGCCATCAGGCAGAGAGATGTAGAACCCTAGCACATCTCCTTTCCCGTACCCTTCATCACCATAGTTGTCCCTCTAGGACATGTGCACCTTTGTGCCATCAGTGTCACGGTACCCAAAGCCATACGCGCCACAACCGACGGGCATGTCGATGTCCGCCATGTTGGTCGCCCACCCGAGGTGGGTGTGGCCGGTGCGGCCTAGGTGCAGGACCTTGACCTTGAAGTACCATGCTCCGACCGCGACGCCGTGTGTGGCACGCACCATGCGGTAGCCCTTGGAGCTGGCGGTGGTGAGGCGGTCAGCCGAGAGCACGATCCTCTCCGACTTGAAGACGCGTGAGAGGAGCATGGGCTGCCCTGGCGCGCACTCCTCAGCGCCGGCGGTGCCAGGCCAGGGCTGGGCGGCGGGCGGCAGCGGCGGCGCTGCCTTCTTATTTTTGGGCTTGCGGGAGGTGGACCTACTCCAGATGTTGTTTTCGTCCCTCTTGGAGTTCTTGGGCACCGGCGCCGGCTTGCTGCACGACCCTCCGTCACCGTCGACAGGGGTTGCGAGACCCAAGGAAGCATGGGTAACATGGAGGCTGAGGTTTTGGAAGGCATTAGAGATCGATGCACCCGTGGCGGGCAGCAGCGGGGCTGGGTGACATCGGACAGAGGCTGCATCGCAGGCGGTGGCGATGGAGGGGCCATCGATCGGGTGCGGATCGGCGGCGGCGGCGATGGAGGGGCTACCGATCGGGAGTGGATTGGAGAGGATAGGATTAGGGTTCAGACCGAGTGGGGATCGGGGAAAGTGGAGAGCCTCTTCGAACTGGCAAGGCACGGTGTGCGTGACTGGCCTGGGGTTCCTCTTCTCCTCTGTTGTAGCCTTGCGGGGGACCGGGGAGCGGGCTGCCGCCAGCGTGCCGCACATGCTCGCCGCTGCTGTCCACGTCGCCGCGCGCAGGTGCAGCCTGCGTCATCCATTTTGCGCGTCTCCTGCTACAAAACGCCCAGGTCAGGCGTTGTCTCTGGGTTCATAATACTTGGTGTGGCATGTTTGAATTGAGATACCCAACTTTCAATGCCGCCGCCGTGGTGTGTTTTTTTTGAAAGGCCGCCGTGATGTTTTCAGAGCTAGGGAGGGTCGCCGGAGTTCAGATGTTGTTGCCGGTTTTAACTACTCTAGGTCTAGGAAGATATAGGCGAAATGCCAAAATGCATGATTAAACCCATTTGGTGACAACATAAGCATATACAATCACATGAAAGATAACACATTCAGTGATAACATAAACATACAATCACTCAATCATAGGAAAGTTTAAACTCATTTGGTGACAACATAATCATACAGTCACATGAAAGATTAAACCCAACCATTTGGTGACAACATAAGCATATATATAGTCTAGTTATATATGACTCGAGCAGCCAACTTCACCAAGTATCCATGGGACTGTTTGTGGTGTTTACACAAGGGTATTTAACATAGCTAACACAACATACTAATTACCCTAGATAGATTTTTGAGAAATAGCATTTTTGGAGATGCACCTTCAATAGTTAAACATACACCTTATTCATATATGAAAGCTAATAAACAACTTCAATAGTTAAATATTGGAGATGCACCTTATTCATGTTGAGCAGCAACTATAAGAGGCAAAGGTGCTATGATCATTGGAAATATGGAATCCAAAATGAAAAGGATAAATTTTCAATTAACATTGCAGCATCAATAAGTAATAAAGCTCCACTAGTATGGATAAGCAGAAATATAACGATATCATAACAGCATGCTGGATAAAAGTAATAGAGCTCCACTGGTCAGATTGATCTATGCAATGCACATTAGTTTAGGCTTTCAAGATTATTACAAGATGAATACATGTGAACTAATCTACAACATCTCAAGCATTGACACTGAGTGGATGCATGTTTATGGAATTCTCTTATTTGTAAATACTAGAGTTCATGACCACTTCATTATAACAATTGCATGCATGGATTATGATGTCCCTAAACATTTCATAAGGTGCTAACTGAAACCAATTTTGGGGGAATGGGTTGGGGGTTCATTTTGCAAGACGTAACCTTACTTTTTGCCTATGCATTAAACACATACATGAGTGCAAACAAGTGTGTGTGTGTGTGTGTGCTCTCGCGCTGTCGGTGTTTCGAACAAACACCGGCAAGTGAATTTATAATTGATGCACGTTAGGCCCGGATGGTGTGCTAAAGGACACAAGGTTTATACTGGTTCGGGCCGAATGTCCCTACGCCCGATCATTGCTGCTTTGCTTGTATTATTAGCACCAAATATGGTTCATAGTAGGGGGTACAAATGGTCGAGAGAGGGAAGGGTCCCAGGTCTCTGATGGAGGGGTTGAAAGGATGCCAAGGGCCTGGCGGCGACTTGGCTGTGTGAGTGGAACAGAATGCTCTATGAGCTCGTCTGTATGTGAGTTGTCCGTTGAAAGTCGATTCGTTCGGTCCCTCTCCTCATAGGGAGCCCTGTCCTCCCTTTTATAGACGAAAGGGGGAGCAAGGGTTACAGGTGAAAAAATACCAAGGGTATAGAAGGTCCTTCGAAGGGCTCGGGTCTTCCTTTCCCTCCAAGCCAACCTCAAACACGACCAGTGGGTGTCAGAGGTTGGCATGTTCGCCGGATACTTGTGTGATGACGATGCTGCGTCTACAAGTGGTCACGTCCCATCCCGCCTCTGCGGGCGGCGTGTCGGGCAGGAGTGCCGGCCTGCGATACTGTGGGGGGCGAACGGTGCGGCACCCCCACGCTTGTTAGCATCGGGGACATGAGTCCTATTGTGGTGTTTGTGTCAGGCTCCGTGCTCGAGGGTTGAAGGCGACGCCCGTAATACTGTAGGCCGTAAAACCCGGCACCTACAGTACTACTCAGGTTCTGTCATGTCCGGCAGGGCCTAAAGCGCTCGTCTCGTCGTACATCGATGGTACTTGTCAGTATTGCAGGGCATGGTCCTTGCTTCCGTGGTTTGACCCTAACGTCCTGTCTTACCCTGTTCCTACCATCATGGAGGGGCAGGATGAGGACATCAGGTGAGGTGGTGCTCAGCCCTTGTCGGCAGGACGAGGCGGAGTCTGGCCCTCGGGGGCCGGACAAGGCGGAGTCTGGCCCTCGGGGGTCGAACAAGGCAGAGTCTGGCCCTTGGGGGTCGGACGAGGCAGAGTCTGGCCCTCGGGGGTTGAACGAGGCGGAGTCGTTGCGCTCCTGTTCAATTGGGAATGTCGTTGGTACTTATCAACTCTACCTCATTGGGTATCCCAGTATTGGATCCCCGACAGTAGCCCCCGAGCCTTTGGGTGATTCGGGTAGAATCGCCCGGCGGTTGTCCCGGCTCGCTAGAGGGTGTTCGGGTTTGCCAGAGGGTGCGCGCGAGCGTACCCGATGGGTGTAGCCCCCGAGCCCCCAGGTGATTCGGGTGGAATTGCCTGGGGGTGTTTTCGGACCCTCCGCGGGTAGGACAGTGAGATTCGGCTTTTCTCAGCTGGATAGCTTTTGAGGAAACCCTGGGGTCCCGTTTGCGGGGATGTCGCCCGGGCTTAGCTTGGCCAGGGTTTTGACTTAAGAAGTTGAAGTCCCATTGGTGCTTGCGTACCGGAGTCCTTGTCTTTCGTGGGCCCATCCCTTGTTTGAGACGTTCGTCGAGATGGTTGGGCCGACCCCGGTCTTTCTGGGCCTAGACGGACCAGAGAAGGAAATCTTTCTAGCCCACGTCTCCTCTGTTTGGAGAAGAGTCCAGTCGCCTGGGAAGATGAACCGTTCGGCGCGATTTTGGTGGGAGCGGATAGGGATTGCAGGCGCGTGTCCCGCGACATGACATGGCGGTGCGCGTGGCAGGCTCGGAGATCGAGGTGGACGGGTGCCCTTCTCGCATCCGTCGCCACTATAAAGCTACGGGGTTCGCCCCCAGGGTTCCGTACTCTGCCCCCCTTGTCTTCGCATCCGCGGCCTTCGCCGCCAATCGCCCTAGCTTCCCACGCCAGTACTGCTGCCGCTGTTGGGTCCACGTCCTCATTCACTGCTGCCGTAACTGGCCAATTGCTATGACTAGTGCTCTGCTCTCTAAAAGAATTCATACCATCTGTACTTAAGGCGAACCTTAAGTTTCTAGCCTCATTTGCAAACTCTGGAAATTCCCTGTCTATCGCTCTCCACTGGGACCCATCAGCTGGGTGTCTCAGCATATTGTCTATCTTACGGTCTTCTTTATACCACCGCAACAACTTTACATGGTCTTTATTTCTAAACAAACGTTTTAAGCGTGGTATTATAGGAGCATACCACATAACCTTGGCAGGGATTTTCTTTCTAGGACGTTGTTCACCCTCGACGTCACCAGGATCATCGCTACCGATCTTATACGCGATATTTTTTACATACTGGGCATTCATCCAAATTCTCGTATTCATTGCCATGGTAGAGGATGCGATCATTAGGACATGCATGTATCTTACGGATTTTTAATCCCAAAGGGCGTATAACCTTTTTTGCTTCATACGTAGTGGTGGGCAATTCATTTGGCTTCGGAAGCATCTTCTTTATGAGGTTCAATAAATTCCCAAATACCTTGTTGGATATACCATTCTTTGCCTTTCACTGTAGCAATTCCAGTGTTGTACCCAGCTTTGTACATCCAATGGCGTGACATAATCTGTATTACACAACATAATCTTGGGAGCGGCGATCGGCATTGTACATCTAATGGCGTGACATAATCTGTATTACACGACAAATTATGAAAACCTTAAACATAATTAAGTATTTTATTACACAACATAAATGACACACACACGGTTGATTAATTAACTAAGCCTGGCTACAACGTAAGCAATCCCAACTATCACTAAACAAACTAAAACTACAATGCACTTCAAGTAATATAATTATTTCGTGATCGCATTTAACTAAAAGCAGATAAATCATTCTTCCGTTGAATATCAATAAGCTTCTCCTTTGGCTCATCGCCTCATCAACAATGAGCAGAATTACGCTCGCGTATGTAGCATAATCTTCCTCCTAGTACCAACCATCGCATCCATTGCCCTCCCTTTGAAATTAAAGCCAAAAATATTTAGTCAAAAATATTCAAGAAAAGCAGGTCAATTAGCCATAATAATCAAATGCGTAAGAAACTCACATCGCGATCCGGGCACTTGTAGAAAACACGACCCTTGTTGGGTCCTCGTCTCTTGACTCGGTACTCCATCACAATCTTTTGCTTACACTTACATGAGATAATGAGATGGAGTTCGGCCTCGATCGTTTGCAAACGAACGAGAGGCCGAGGATCCCATACCGATTGTCATCTACTTTCTATACTTATTTTTGTAAACCATGTAAATTTCACATTTTCTAAAATAATATATTTAAACAAAACTAAAATTATTTATTTATCTAACTAAACCATGAAATATGTACTATGTATAATAGTAAAATACCAAACTATCAAGTGATTTTACTATTGTAAATCATCATGTGATTTTGAGCTAAAAATGACATAGAAATCACATAGCTCAAAAACATGTTTCAATAAATAACCATTCGTACTAGTTGACCTTGCTTACGTGATCATCTCGTGAGCATTTCTCCACCGGACGGCACCCGTACTTGGCCAAGGAAGAGCTCCGATTCTACGAGGAAGGAACACGGTCTTCCACGACCGTTGCCGCTCTCCCTCAGAGAATCAAAGCTCCTCCTTGACGTCGTTACCGCTTCGGCGAGAGAAAATGCTCGCCGAGATGATCACGGTCCGCAAGTTCAACTAGTACGGATTTTCTACAATTTTCTAACTATTTTCTAAGTTTTTCATTTCATGGAAAAATTAATTCTAAGATCACGTAAGCCGCTGGGGACGAGGATGGCGCGTGCTCCAGCGAGGACGAGCGAGGCGT